AGCGTTGGTCTAAAGAATAAATCCATACACTACCAAATTATTATTTACCTCACTTGTCCGTCCTAATTTAGAATACTGTTCTTCCGTTTGGAGTCCTCAGTATCAAGTGCACATTGACCGTATAGAGTCCGTAAAGAAACAATTTCTTCTTTTTGTCTTACGTGGTTTGAACTGGGATCAAAACGTCAGGTTGCCTTCTTACTCGAGTTGATTGCTATTAATTAATTTGCCTAGTCTAGTAAGCCGTAGAATTATGCTTGGTACTATTTTTATGAATAATCTTATCAGAGGCGATATTGATTCTGTAAATTTGGTAAGCCGCCTAACTTTCAATGTTCCTGTTAGACTAATGCGAAACTACCATCCTATCAACTTGCCACGATGTTCATTTAATTTTAGTCAGCATGAGCCCTTTCGCGTTCTTTCTAATAATAATAACAACCTATATCATTTAATTTGTTCCTCAACTTCTATCCCTGTACTAAAAACTAAAATCTTAGCTCATTTGCTTTAGTCTTGTTGATCTATGTTTTGTCCTGTCTTTATTTGTTCTATGTACGTTCCTCGCGAACCGTAATTGCCCGAAATAAAAATGGGCCCGTGCGTAACAAGCACGTGCTTGGTGTCGTTTGGGCCACTTGTTTGTACTGCTCTTAGTGCATCAACGTTCAACAACAATAAAAAGCACACGTAACAGAACTGGCGCTCAAGTTATGATTTTCATAGTCTTTAAGGAGTTTTGTTAGGACTAAAAATCATGATATATGTGGTGTCAGAGTTTATGTATCTAAGAATTTCATAACTTTCATCATCAATTGCCAACAAATATTTGACTATTCTTAGAACAGCGTTTTAAGTGGTAATAATTGCATCTGCTTACTTATTTGTTTAATGGTTAAAATATTGAAATTAAAGTCCCCAACTTCTGTACGAATTGAGCGGCCAATTGATCAGAACTTCGTGCTCTTGACTTAATGATGTTTTAATTTTATACCCGTTACTCGTAGAGTAAGAGGGTATACTAAAATCGTCGGGAAGTATGTAACAGGCAGAAGGAAGCGTTTCCGACCACATAAACTATATTTATTCTTGATCAGGATCACTAACCGAATCGATCTAGACATTTCCGTCTGTCCGTATGAACGCTGATTTGGCATGCAGATTCCTGAGATTACTGCGCAGCGCAAGTTGGTTTCAGCAGGGTGCTCCTACAGTTTTAATGCTAGAAAAAAAAATTTAGGTTTAAATATCGATTGACCCAAAAAAAGTTTGCCACGCTCACTTTAACGCCCACAAACCGTCCACAAACCGCCCACAAACCGCCCACAAGCCGCCCATAAACTTCAAAAAATCCTAAATATGAATGCGGATATCTCGAAAACTATCAAAGATAGAGCATTAAGATTCCGTAGCCTTGTACGCAGCGCAAGTTTGTTACGAGAATATGCCCACTCTGACGCCCAAAAACCGCCCAAACCTGTGGCGCCCTCAATTTTCATATTAGATCACAAATTTTAACTGAAATGTATTACTCTCGTCAAAACCTATTGATTGATCCAAAAAAAAGTTTGCCTTGCTCACTCTAACCCCCATACCGCTTAAATCTGTCTGTCGCCCAAATAACCATATAGTGAGATCGAGGGTAGTTGGCGCATTTTAATCTCGCTTTGCCGCTTGCATATCTCCATTTCCCCTTGGTCCCTTTAGCTGAGTAACGGGTATCTGATAGTCGAGGTACTCGACTTTAGCGTTTTTCCTTGTTTTCTTTTACAATCATAGAAATTCCCTGCTTTGTTCATGGGCAAATTTACCTGACTTTCCCAAAACCAAAAACTATGAGGTTTCCGTTTTATAATACTATAAAACAGCGGTCGGCAGCGCCCTATTAAGTGAGCATAGGAAATTGCGCTGCCCATCCGCTGCTCGCTCACGTATTACGTAGATGTTCATGCGACTTCGGCATCGGTCTTCGGGTCTTTCTTTTCTCAGCTTCGGCGCGCTTTTTTGCTGCGTTTACGTCGCTGTTATGCTTTATGCTAAGCGTGATAAATGAAAAATCGATCAGCACGAAGTGACAAAACTATTTAAGTAAGATGTGACCTAAAAAGAGGGCCCAACTACTTAAAGTGATTGATTGATGGAGCTCTTCGGACAGAGCAATAAAATGCAGAGCAGATAGAAGCTCTGAAGGTGCAAGTGGCCGCTCACCTTGATATGTTGAGCCAGGTCAGTGCCTACTTGTGGAAGTATGTGGGGCTGCTAGGGGAAACATAGTCTAATTTGTTGTTCGGTTTTATGATTGCATTGTATAATTGCCTTCCTTTGGGAGTCACAAGGCGTGATCTCCAGTGCGTGTGTTTGGCATTATAGTCCCCTGCAGCTATAAAGCGATTTCCAAGCAAGTTGTAGAAGTCCATGAATTGTCCTTCAGAAATTGTAAAGCGAGGCGGACGGTAGACAGCGGCTATGGTGAGGTTTCCGTTGCCGGACTGCACTTTGATAGACGTGGCTTGTAAGTAATAAGTTGCAAATCTTTGATGAAAGTGGGGCTTGATGTGTTCCTGATTAGGATGCCGGTTCCGCCGTGGGCCTTACCATCTGGATGGTCTGTGCGGTAAAAAGTGTAGCCTCTTATTTGGAAGTTGTACTTGTTTATGAGGTGCGTCTCTACCAGTAGCATAATGTCGATATGATTATCATTCAGGAACTGTGTTACTTCAAGGTTGTGCCGTGAAACGACATTGGCGTTCCACATTGTTATTCGTAGATTTGCCATCTGTTATTTAAACTTCTTACCAGCAAGTAGCTGTAACACCATGTTCTGGTTTTGAACCAGTGTTTGCATGGTCGTTTTCATGACTGACATAAATTCCATCATACTTTGCTGCATGGTGACCATCATATACTCCAGAGTGCTTTGGATCTGCTGAGCGTTTCCTATATTAGACTGGAGTGGGTTTTCCGTCCCTGATCGAAGGGCATCGGCGTTTGAGAAGCCCTTCTGGGTGGTCAACTTCTATGTGTTTAGTTGACCAAATGAGGATCTTACAGCCGTGCCGAAAAATATTTCCGGCGTCGTACGGGAGTAAGTGTACGCATTTTGGGTATTCTGATGACGCGTTGCTGTCACTTTTCGCATGCGGTCCTTCATCTCCATGAAGACCGGACAGCCCCTGTAGTTTGCCGTGTGGTTACCTTGACAGTTAACGCATTTTTATACCCGTTACTCGTAGAGTAAAAGGGTATACTAGATTCGTCGGAAAGTATGTAACAGGCAGAAGGAAGCGTTTCCGACCCCATAAAGTATATATATTCTTGATCAGGATCACAAGCCGAGTCGATCTAGCCATGTCCGTCTGTCCGTCTGTCTGTCCGTATGAACGATGAGATCTCGGAAACTAGGCGCTAGGCTATTGAGATTTGGCGTGGAGATTCCTGAGCTTCTTACGCAGCGCAAGTTTGTTTCAGTAGAGTGTCACGCCCACTCTAACGCCCACAAACCGCCCAAAACTGTGGCTCCTACAGTTTTGATGCTAGAATAAAAATTTTAACTGAAATGTAATGTTCTCGTCAATACCTATCGATTGGTGTAAAAAAAATTTGCCGCGCCCTTAACGCTTAAATCTGTATACCGCCGGTAGGTGGCGCATTTTAATCTCGCTTTGCTACTTGCATATGAGTAACGGGTATCTGATAGTCGAGGTACTCGACTATAGCGTTCTTCCTTGTTTTTTTGGGGTGTTCTTTGTTGGCAGGGCAGTTAGCCGAAGTGTGAAAGTCTCCACAAGCTACACAAACTGTTCGAAGTGAACAGTATGCCCTGTTGTGTCCATACTCCTGATAATTTGTGCATTGCACTGGGCCGTTCCTTTTATGTGGCTCTTCCACGTTGATTCTTCGGTGCAATAAGTATTGCAGGCTCTAAATGGGGTGCACTTCATTTTTCTTCAAGACTCTGCTGTCTGGCTCCAGCTCGACCCTGAAGAGTGGTTGCGGCTCTTTTTTCCTGTTTATAATGTTACTGACGTTCTTTACAGAAAACCCTTTTTCCTTAAAAGCATGGATAACTTCCTTGGCGGTTACGTCGGGCTCGACTCCTTTTAGTACCACTTGCAGGCCCTTGCTGCTTTTTAGTTGGTACGTGTAGTAGCTTTTCCTAGCTTCCTCCAGGTATTTGGATACAGCTCGGAAATGTTCTTCAGATTTGGTCTGGTTTCATGGATATCCCCTTTTGTGACCGGAAAAACCATGAAAGTTTCCGTCCCCGGTTAGCGCAAATATTTTGTTGACCAGGGCGTTCGAGATTTTCTCCCTAATGTAAATTGGTGGGGGCTTAGGTTTCGGTTGGGTCTCCTGAGCCTGCTCTGGTTCATTTTCATCTAGAAGCGCAAATCTATTGCTGTTGGATCTCCCTGGTAATTTATTTTCTATTTGGACATGGTTTATTTTTGACTTGTTACTTGACTTGTATTCTGCGGGCTAAGCTTACGCTTGATATGGATGTAACGATCTAGTCCGGTATGTATGGCCGGACCCGCTTGCTGAATTTTGTTTTGGTTTTGATTTGTTGTCGTGATTTTTGTTTCCGTTGAATTTAGAGCTGCGGTTGCAGTCGATTCCGCAGTAATAGCCGTAGCTGTAGTTGTTGTTGATTTGTCTTTGCCGTAGCTGTAGTTGTTGCTGACAAATTTAGTGTGGATGCAGAAGTTTTACCGTTGCATGTTGTTGGTGCGCCAGGGGTCGAAACTGATGGTGGAGGGTTTTGCATTGTTGACTCCACGCCGTCGGAGTGGGGGTAGCCGTAAGTAAGCATGGTGAGCAAGATCGTGCTCTTTGGCTATCGACCGACAGTATGGTCGTTTTTTGCACTTCGCTGTCACGCGTTGAGACATATGAAAAGTAACCGACTCTTCGGCTCGCGGAGCTTAGTAGCTCTTTATTTTGTTCGTAGCTCATTGAGCTTTTATTAGCATGGCATTAGCATTATTATTATAAGATAAAATAATTATGTGCTAGTTTAAGTCATTACACCGATTTTGTGAGTTGAAATATAAAATGCTCACTCTATCGTCTTTTCGCTTATTTGAAATTAACCACTTTAGTTATTGTGTTTTGTTTGCATTTAGTTTATCAACTTTCTTGCACTTTTCGCGACGCTCGCACGAGACAGGTCCGCTCTCTTCAGAGAATAATGTTGTCTTTTGGCAGTATATGAGCTGTAAAATGCATTGGGTAAAAATGTCGTATTTCATGAGTGTATTTCATGCCACAGACCTGTATATCGCCTATCCCCTTAAACGTAGTCCGACGACTCCAAAAAGCGATAAGCTTAAAACTGTGGAATTTCAGAAAAATGGTAGAGAGTCACGATCACATGATGGGTGGTACATGAAATCAGATCAAGACCGATTCCGCTATATAAGCCCCAACAAGGTGGCTGTACCTCACCTGACATCATACAGCCCTTCCAAAGGTACGACCAGGTTGTTAAAGCTGCTCGCCAGCATAAGAGGGAGAAAGTTTGTAATATAAGATGGAAGATACGGAAACGGACGAGTAACCAGAAGATAGAGACGGTTGCTCCGAGTCCAGAAGCAGCTGACATATACCGGGAGATCCATAACCCGCGTCCAGGGAAGAACAGGAAAGTGGGTGGTCTAATGAAGCGCGCCACAAGAACACTGAGCCAGAGGGAGATATTCTATTAATTCTAAGGCAACCTAGACCATGTTTGAATTAAAGACCAGTATAAGAATATTTAGAGCAAAACCGAAAAAATCATAAAATATATTAAAAATAAAAAATTAATTAATATCTCTCTATGCAGCTGAACGGCCCCCGTTACGGCACACTCAGCATTATAATCTTAGCATGCAACCTTCTTGCTAACAGCAACATAAAATTTCTGTTTCAGGCATACATTTTCAATTTCGTACTCCCTTTTACGCTTTACTTTCTGTTTCTGTTTATGTATGTATATGTATATATGTATGTTAGAGTGTTTCCGTGCAAGGCCGAAAAGCTTTTAATTTTGTTTCGGGAATACAATACAACAAAAATTTAGCTACAACAATAATAACGGGCCCAACTAGCTATTTAATATGAGTCTGGGTCACTGGAGTGTGTCGAAGCCACACGTAAATAGGCGCATGAAAAAAAATGAAAGACAGGACATGGTCTGAAGCAGATTTCTTTCGCGAAGTCATTCCACACGTATTCGCATCGATCACTTCGAGAAGAAAATTCAATTCGGCGATTCACGGGTGGCTAGAACAACGATGACGATCGACCTATTGTAACCATACCCCGACAGCTGACAAAGGGCACCGCCAGGCCATTGACTCCCGAGATAGTGAAAATAGAAAAATAGTAACCCTAGGTAAGAACACCTATTTAATCCATACTGTATGGGAGCAGGTAAAAGCTCTAGTCCGGTATAAAAGACCCTAGTCAGATAAAAAAGACAGACGGAATTTGTTCTGATCTCCGTGGTACTGGATTAGAGGTGCTACCCCCATCACCGCAGACCACAGACTAGAAAAAGACTGATGTCCAGGACGTCTTGACTGTTTCCCTGAGACCATATTTACCCAAAACCAAAGTGCATAACAAAAACAATTCGTGAGACACGAAAGCTATTGAAGGTAAATTAATTTCAATTAATTACAAACCATCGCCAAAACAATAAAAAACATACAAACTGAGAATTCAAGCATTTCGGAATGCAAATAAAGAAGAACCAAAAACAAATGCATTGAGCAAGAAATTAGAGATGCAGCAACCAGCCAAAGCCCTGTGCCATTGGAACCAACGGGTACTGCAGCGGAACTCCTTGACATGCGTATATGTGTACATATTTATACGGCCATTGTGTTATTGTGAACCACCAACTTATGTCGTTATGACCAGTTTCGTGCTTTAATAAAACCTTATCTAAAACTTTTAATTCAAACAGCTTATGATTATACCCCTTACTCGAAAAGTAAAAGGGTATACGAGATTCGTCGAAAAGTGTGTAACAGGCAGAAGGAAGCGTTTCCGACCCCATAAAGTATGTACGAGTATATTCTGATCAGGATCACTAGCAAAGTCGATCTAGCCATGTCCGTCTGTCCGCATGAACGCTGAGATCTCGGAAACTATAAGAGCTACAATACTGGGATTAAGCATGCAGATTCCTGAAACACCTGCAGAGCGCAAGTTTGTGTCAGAAATGTGCCACGCCCACTCTAACGCCCACAAACCGCCCAAAACTGTGGCTCCTACAGTTTTGATGCTGGAGTAAAAATTTTAACAGCAATGTATTTTTCTCATCAATACCTATCGATTGACCAAAAAAAAAGTTTGCCACGCCCACTTTAACGCCCAAAAGCCGCCCACAAACTTAAAAAATCGTGAATATTGTAACGAACTGATTTTGTATGTCTGCTCGCGACGAGATTCGTGCGGCTAGCTCAGAAGATTGTGTGTTCGTCCCACCAAATTTATATGACGTGATTGCCCGTAGATCAGTGAGAAAACAAAGGGGTTCAAATGGTAGCAGTGGGATTTATTCTCGTGGTATTAGTACAGCGGGTGTGGCTGGGCTGGCTTCGGTATCTCCTGGCTCTGGTTCCGCCGGCTGCTGGCGCTCCTCTTTCTGGCTCCTCGACGCGTTGACTCGTCCTCCTCTGGATCCTGGGTCTCGGGACGCTCGTTGTGGCCGCCTCTGCTTGCTTGCCGACGCGCTGCCTCGGGGTCGCTTGTTGCGCCTTAGACCCGCAGAGAGTTCGGCCTTGTGGACTTAGGGAAGCGTCACCGTTCTCAGACTAGGGCGAACAAGCCTTGCTCTCCAGGCCCACGCCTTTCGAGGCAATACCTGTCCCTTGCTCTGTCCCGGACGGTCCCGCTAGGTTCTCGCTCAGTTCGCGCTCCCCAATGAGCTCCGCGCGGCGATGGTAACGTGGCTGCCGGAAATGTCTGCTGGTGTCGCTGTCGATGTCCTCTGCGCTGTTTTCTGACCAGTATCTCGTCGTTCTGGCGCTCGGGGAGCAAGGCGATTGGTGTTCGGGACCTTCGCCTGTAATCGCAGGGCTCTCCAGGCGGTCGCCTCTTGAAACCGCAAATCGATCTACCGCTCGTCCGTCACGCCAGGTCCTGCTTGGTCGGGCAAGGTACGCTGGGTCGCAGACAACTTTCCTCCCAAAGCTGCCGGTTCTTCGTCGTAGGACTCTTTTGCTTGTCTCTGACAGACCCGCCGGGCGACTCGCCAGGGTGTGGTCGTGACAAAGTTGGGAAACAAACGCCTTGACTTAGCCGCGTGATGCCTTCCAGAACTCAGCCACCTGTGTCTCAATTAGGAGATTCCTGATGTCCCAATCCCGAACGTGGCGATCTTGCTCCTTGTGTGCTTCCCACGACGCTGCTTCCGACGACTCGCTTGGTTGTAGCTCCCTCGTAGATTATTTGCTTGACTGAATGTTCACTTGGTACTTTAACTGATCTTGAAGGTTTGACTCCTCGTGATCGACTGATCCAGCTGCCAGCGCTCTGCGGCCTTATATAGGGCTTCCGGGAACCGTTATTTCCCTTTTGCGCACTGCCCGCTGGATCTCTCCAATTCCGTAGCCTTATACGCAGCTCAAGTTTGTTACGCAAATATGCCACGCCCACTCTAACGCCCACAAGCCGCCAAAGTCTGTGGCGCCCACAATTTTTATGCTAGATACAAAATTTTAACTGAAATGTATTGGTCTCGTCAATACCTATCGATTGATCAAAAAAAGTTTGCCACGCCCACTCTAACGTGCATAACGATTAAATCTGTCTACCGTCCTCATAACCACATATTGACATCACGGGTAGGAGGCGCATTTCAATCTCGCTTTGCTGCTTGCATAACTCCATTTCCCTTTGATCCCATTAGCTGAGTAACGGGTATCTGATAGTCGAGGTACTCGACTATAGCGTTCTTCCATGTTTTTTATTTCTGTTTATTGGTTTCAAATGCTAATCTGGCTCTTTAAGAGTTTGTTCTAATCAAAATTTTGATTCCTAAATGTATGTTAGTCATCTATAAAGAGGCTATATTCTATCTGTTCATGCCTTCCTCTTTATTTTAGTTAAAATTCTATGCTTAAATATTACCCTCTATTGTAAAGCATTATGATCCACAATGAAAACGGTAAGTCATTAGCTTTCTTGTTATGCATAGCCCAACCAAATTTATAACCAAAAGCAAAATATAGTCTCACACAGAACTTCGTGAAGTAAATATCATTGACTCCGTCGTTTTAATTTTTGGATCAAGCTCCGGCACCTGCACAGGGGCAGAGGCGGTGCAATAACAACAACCACTCGCATTTGCACGAGGGCAAATTTCACCATTGGCTGCCTCCCATTAGGCATCGGATTAAGCATTGGCGACCGTGACAGGACACCTGTCATGAAGCTTTACAATTCGGCTGCGAGGGATCACAAGGGATTCAGTAGCAGCTACAATTCAAACGAATCAGTTGGAAAGTGATCTCAACTTGGACTTTTACGGCATCACACCATTACGTCACCAGTACACCTGAGAAACTTACTGGAGCACGTAAGCTTTCAAATCGGCAGATTTAACCCAGTTTACTTGTTATTTGATCTTTCGGACGCAAATAATATAAATAAAAAAAAAAGTCTGGTTATATCTAGAAATATAGGTGTGATTTATTTAACCTATGCCGAAAAAGCTTCTCAGAACACGCAAACTTGCTGTACCCCAGTTTTACATCAAAAAGTTTCGCAGTTACTCTAAAACTGTTGTAGGGTTTCAAAACTTGTAAAAGCCTCTCAAACGCATTTTCCTTACAGTTTGACTGATTTTTCATCTCTTTGCAAACATGACAAAAGCATCTGTAGAAGAACAGCTAGATGCACTTAGGCTCAAAAGAACTCTGCTGCAACGAAACATGCATCGAACTTCGAATCGAGCAGTTGCAGACACAGCAATGGACGCTGCATCGGCAGAGTGTCACCTGTCCCTTTTGGAATCGCACTTTAGGTAATTGTGTCAAGTTCAACAGCAAATTGAAGAAATAGACTTGGAAGAAGATTCTCGCGATCAGTTTGAGGCAGATTTTATAGCAACAAAATCTACGCTTTTAAAACGTGCAAATGTTAACAAGCGCAATGGCCCTGAGGACTCCGTCTTGATAATTTCCACCTGCTTAGGGGCCAGTTCCCATAATCGATTACTTTCTCTAAAACTCCCAAAATTTGACGGAAAATATGGCGAGTACAACCGTTTTATTGCAGCCTTCAATCATATGGTTCTGATATTGACAAGTTTACGTACCTATTCGGATGTCTTTCTGGTCCTGCATTGAGTGTAGTGGCTGCATTTCAAATATCGGAAGAAAATTACAAAAAGGCATTAGAGCGCCTTAAGGAACGATACGATAAAAAAGTGTTGATCTTACTCGAACATGTATCTTGCTTTTTTTCCATTTCTCAAATGAGAAAATCTGATTCTTCATCCCTTCGAGAAATTTTAGATACAGTGGCAGCGTTGCGTGGTTCACTGCTCTCTCTTGGCACCGAACAAAATGCATTTCAGAACTATGAGCAGTTTCCAACTTGGCATAATTTCTACAACATGTTACGAAGGCATTATCAGTTTCTAGAATGAGGCGCAAAGCCAGGCCAGGAGTTCAATCAATATGATAAGCGTCCAGA